CCCGCGGTGCGCCCCGGCTGCTGGCCCCGGGCGCGGGGGGGACGCGCTCCGCGGAGCCCCGTCTCCCGAGGGGTCCTGCGGAAGCCCGGGCGCCCCCGCCGCACTCCGGAGACCGGAGGAGCAGGGCGGCATCCCCGCCCCTCTCCGCCGTTCAGTCACCTTGGACAGGGAATTCAGATCAGTCTCGCTGCACAGTTCGTGGCGGGTTTCAAATCTTTCGTGCTATACTGACGTTTCCTTTGTTGCAGGGAAGATCTTGCTTTCCTTCATCTCTTTTTTTTTTTTTTTTCCCCAGAATATTTCCTGCATGCTGATTTTTATCAGCTTTTAAGCCTAGATCCCGTGTGTTTTTTATTTTAGACTCTGGCATTGTTTTCTTTAAAAGAACAAGGATTTGTGCATCTGGCTTTTTACTAATGATGTAATTGTATGAACAATTTATTTCAGCCTGTTGATAAGGACCCACACGTTCTCATGAGCGGAGCAGGGAGAGATAATAGGAGGAGGGCTGCTCTTTGATCTCGTGTCCCAGAGAAACCCAAATCTCCTTGTCAGGAAAGGAAGCCATCCTTACGACAAACAGATGACACTATCTTAACCACCTTTTCCTAGACTTATAAGCAAACCACAGGTATAGAATAGAGAAAAGGGGTCTTGGGGTAAAGGCTTTGTCATAAATTCTTGCAAAGGGTTTAAAAAATTTTCTTTGTCTGTCTTGCATCTTCCATACCTAATATTTCATGCATGTAAGAGGACTGAACTGGTTCAAATGGAGTCGTATTTCCTTTATTCTGATGAAGTAGAGTATTAAGAATGTTGGCTATTAGGGATTGATGACTGGCCATTCCCTCTGACCAGACTATCCTTATGGTTTGTTTGAATTGCTTCTAGTTACCTAGTCTAGAACGTGGCCTTTCCTACATGGTCCAGAGGAGAGGAACGAGTCACTTCCCTTCCCAAAGTGCAGCATTCAGGAACTCCCTAGATGACTTCACCGTTCCTCCTATAACTAATTGTGATGATCTTCCTGCCTATGGCTACATAAAATAGTTGGTTCTTTCCTTTTACAATTCTACCTAGCAGCAGTGCTGCAGTAATGAGCTTAAAGTCAACTAAAGGGGCTTACAGTCAAATAAAATAATCATTTTAAATATCTAAGTATATCTTAAGTCCTGCCTCATGTTAACAGATCCTATGCAATGTGTAAGATGTTGGATTCTCTCTGCCTGTATAGAAATGAGATTAAAAGAAAACTATTCTGAAGAAATTGCTGATGGAAAGAAAGATCTTTTGGGAATTAAGCACAGCCCATTACATTCTTTGTTAAAGAAAAATGTTTAATATCTCTTTATAATGCAAAAATTGTTTTCTGAAATATTATACCCAGAAATCATTAATTCTTAGTTACCTGACGGATGATTACTTAAGAATCATCTGACATTTCTGTCCCATACTCCTTTTAGAGGTGCAAATAACAGTTTTACTTTTAATTAGGTTGGCAAACATGCAATCTGCGTGGATTTTTCTGAAGGACTTCACTAGTCAAATGTTTTGACAGACCTAAGCCTTTTTTTTTTTGCTATATTTTGAAGCCAAACAAATTGTTGACTTGATAAAATCGTAAAAGAGAGCTAGCTGTCATCCTTCCTTAATGACTCTCTTGTAGATTTTTATTGACATGGGATTCGATGCACTCAATCATAAGACTTCTGGTTAGAAGCAATATAAATGTATATTTCTACTACTTAGACCTTCTAAAATGAGCCTTTTGCCCAAACTGTAATGAAAGGAAGTGTGAGGATGCCCATTGAATCAAGGACTTCCTCTAGCAAACACTGTAGTATTGAATTAGGAGATAAATGCTTTTATGAGTGCCATTCATTACCCAGAGACTGCTGTGGAGAAGTATGGCATGGGAGGACACAGCCCTGATGGTAAACCCTGTCCCAGCTGCTAGCGAGATTCAGGCACTCTCAGCAGACTACCGTACTTGGACCGCATTCAAGCCATCCAACTTCCATATGTGCCACTAAGAAGTAGGTTGTTTTGAAGCATCCTGCTCTTAGCTGGTGAAAGAAACTATTTGGTGAAAGAAAATATTTCTTTGCTTTACCTCTGTGTTCTTAGGTTAATCTCCTGTGGGAATTATTCTAGATTCTGCTTCTACAAGTCAGCCTAGTACCAAGGAGAAAGGGGAGTAATACTGCTGCTCTGCTTGGCTGCTGTCCTCAGGGTTCTGAAAGGCAGCGTGGAACAGCCTGGTCTTCTCAATACTGCAGCTGTTTGAGAATTGCATAGAGCAGAGGTCTTGGCAAACCTGGGAAGGCAGCACTGCATTGGCTCATTCAGAGCTGTTTACAGCCACTGAGGTTGGGAAACTGGGCTTACGTTTCAGGGGGGAAAAAAAAAATCTATTCTGATTTGAATGCTAAATAATATGTGTGATCTTACTCCAGAGATAATGATGATTTTCTGCTAAATTGGATAGCAAAATAAACCAGTGGCTTTAATGCTTTTCTGAAAAATCTAGATTGTTTTTAATATTTTTTTTTTAAAGGAGCTTGTGTTCTGGGGAAATCGATAGAGGGGAAGGGCTGATTAGTCTCCTAAATCTTACTCTTAAAGATAAGTTTTACAGTCCTTTGAAAAATGTTGGCTATAAAAATTCCTCTCCAGCATTGTAATTATGAGCAAAGGATTGCAACTGAGATCATTGAAGGCTTCAGCTGCTTACCTGTCTTCAGGCCAGAGGAGCTACACCTTTGTGGACGTGGGTCCAAGTCTCCATTGGGTGCTTTTTTTATCTGGTTTTATAAGAATTGTTCCTTAACTTGGTTCATTAACTTAGTTCCAGGTATTTCATACATCTTTAAGATTATAAAGGAAAGATGAAAATTAAATGGATTTTTCTCTCAGAGAGTTTTCAGTGAGGTTTAGTTATTCATGGTACGCAAGTGCAGAACACTGATAACTCCAGTCTGGAAACCAGTGGCTTCTCAGTATCCTTGCACTGACATCCTTTTCTTATCAAACCGATATTCTATGTGACAAATAAGGACAGAGCTGGCTTTAATTTAAGCCAATGCCTAAGCTCCCACTGATTTCAGTAGTAATGAATTTTGCTCCTGTATCTCTACACTTCTTTTGCGATGAACTTTAAAAGCTGGTAGTTTTGTCTCCATATGTTTCTTTTTTGTGTGGGAGGGTCTTTAATGATTTTGATATTTTGTCTTCAGTAGGGGAGGAGGGGGACTAGAAGTTGCTCTAGCTTCAGCTCTCAACCCTTTTGTAGGGAAGAGGGTATGAATAGTATGCACAGTTGAAATTAGACGTGTTAAAAGCTGTACGTGTGGGGGGGTTGACAATTTGAAATGCTTTTAGGATAGGTCAAATAATTCAAGAGGAGAACTTAATCAAATAAAATCCCCCCTCAGAAAGCTAAGCGCTCAGTTTGTTTATGTGACTTAGTCATCCCTTCCTATGTAGCATGATTGTTCATTTGATTCCAATTTACAGAGCAACGTGTACCTTTTTTATAGCAGTCATTAAGTTAATATAGATGTCAGAATTCAAGGCTGCTAAACTTTGATGGGTAACTTCTAAAGCAAGTATTTATCACATCCTCTTATGTTGACGCATATATCACAACGGGACACACAGTAGAGTGTTCTGGCCAGGCCACTCAACGTGTGCACAGCAGTGCTGACTTGGGTGATATTAGTGCTCAGCAGAGCTTATAATTTCATCTTGCATCTGTGACATAAGCATCAAGGTCACTTATGTTAGGAATTACACTTTTCATTTAAACTGCCTTCTGTACCATATTGTGCAGTAACACAGTCAACGGTGAATCTGCAACGTGCCACTTATTTAAAATTGTCTGTTTTGTTTACAAATGCTGCCTTTCCATGTATCTTCCAAAGTATTATGTGTAGTTCTTGGTTTTGCAAACTCAGTTGCTTTTTTATTTGTGAAGTATGATTCAGTGGTATCTATGGTCTTACAGAAGGGCAAGCTATATGCAGCAGGCCATTTCTCCTGAGGCAGTTAACTCCCTGCTCCTGTGAAATAAGTTGTCTCGTACTAAGTGGCAAATTACTGCTGTTCAGTGTTATTCCTCTGCATGTGATAGCTCTTCCTGAGGAATTTTGCTCCACAGTTCCAACAGGAGCTGTGGCTTTGTTGGGATCAGCTTAACAAACTATCACAGGTGATAAGACCAAGCAGTGATTCCCAGCTCCTGCTGAGCTTGAGATCGTGTTGCCACTGAAATATATTTCTCTAATTGGAGCACTGGCTATACATGGAATAAACCCAAGACCACATGAAGGTACTCAAATGAACCGGTATTTCTAAATAGAATAGATAGAATTGAATAAATAAAGCATTGACAACTTAAAAGAGGGTGTAAACTTGAGTTCCAGCTAGCACTATTGTTCTAAGTGCAGTTGTCTGCTCAAAAAGTAGTGATAGGTAAAAATCAGTATGGCTTATTGCCACTTCTGCCCTTTAGGGCCTGTGCTGATAGACTGTCCATGTACAGTGCTCCTCTGTGGAGGAATCATGGTGTAGAGCGATCATTGTGCTGTCCACTGAAGTAGATACTTATTTGGTTTGTTTGTTTGATGTATGGGTAGTTGGCTTTTCAAAAACTGTCTGTAAAAGGGTTCTGGTGATCATTTGCAATATACTCAAAACACAGCATGCTTCTCCCAGTTCTTCTCAGTAGAGAATGATGGGACATGATAGGAAGCAATTCTACAAAATTACTTTTTCCTAATGTGTTTTGTACTGTATCATGTAGTGACTGTGACAGGAGAATTTATTGGCCCTTTCGTGAACCTGTTTGGATTGCACGCTGAGAATACAAAAAAAAAAAAGGTGATAATACAGAGAATGAAGAATTATGTACCATCATGCCCTAGAAAGAAGTGACTGCTGAAAAGCAATCTCCAAAGCTATCTGAACATCAGAGTGTTAAAATTAGGTTCTGGAACATAATGTCTAGGAAAACACTTCCCTTTTGGTGGATGCCCCCAGGTGCGTGAGCAAGGAGGGAAAGGTGGTGCTCTGTGATACCTTGCTGATCCGGACCGTCAGGGGGTTAGGACCTGCTGTAAGATGCAGGCACTGCTAACAGTACTTGCGTTTTAGAGATGTTGCCAGTGCCTTAAAAACAACAATACAAAACAACAACAAAAAAAAACCCAAATAAGAACTAGAAAGGACTGGCAAAGAATCTAAACCCCAAATAATCTGAATACTATAACAAGAACAGTCTGTTAATAGGTGTGCCTGGACTGGGAGTGTCAGTGCCATCTTTAGAATTAACATTTCCATTCCACTTCGTGACCGTAGATGTCTTTCAAGTGGATGTAAAAAATCTGACAAAGCAGAGTGCTTGAATTGTGCTTGGGTTCTGTAATTGACCAGGCCTTAAGGCGCAAGAAAAATTAATAGTGAGGCATTGTTGTAATGAATTAATTTTGTGCTTGCTCAACCACTCCACATTTAAACATATGGAACCATTTTATGTGTAGGAAGAATCTCATGAGAGAGAGAGCTGTGTCAGCCTGGTTATTTGAGCCGGCCAGAGCAGGGATGGGAGAGCTGATTGTTTTTGTCCATAGAGGAACTGATGTTTTACATCTGCTTTTTAACAAATAAAAATTAATACTGCTTCTGTTAGGTGAACGTTTTGTTTTCTCTTTAGTGTGTGAAGGTACAAAACTATTAGTTTACCTCCCATCGAATCCTGTTGAATTCCTCATTCTCTAATTAGTGTTAAAGAATTAGGTAAGAAATACCTGATTTATAGTGTACAGATCTAGGAGCTAGTAACTTATATTTTCTTTTCAAATCTAGCATCTGGCATGACTAACTTCAGGCGTTGGAAAGTTACTGTGGTAATGCCTCAGCTGCTTTTTCTGTAAAAGAGAGGTGGTATCTTTATCACAAAAACCTCTTTGAGCATTAGCAGCAAAGCATAATTTGATTTTTTTTTTAACTTTTGTTTCCTATCATAGTTTTACTTTATTAAACAGAGGAAAAAAAATCTAAGAATAACAGGTATTTCATTTGTCTTTTCTGATAGTAGGTGCTTTTCCTAAGGTACTTGAGTTTCAGGTATTTGGAATAACTTTTTTTCTTTAAAGTATTTACTTCACAGCAGTATGTACAGTTACTATAGAACTAAATTATATTCGGTATGTGCAGATACAGATCTTGTTTTCTGTCTATCCTATGGTTTACTCAAGAAATACATAGTTGTAAGTCTGCTTTATAGACAGTACAAATTGTGGGAAAGGTGCCTTATTGAGACTGCAGCTTTGTGGCTTCAGGAACTATCTGTGTTTCACTAATAGTGATGATTTTTTAAATCAACTTAGAGCTGATTTTAGGCGTGTATATGACATTTGTTGACACAATATGACACTGAGATTAACACAAGAGTGACTTAAATATATGAATCTTAAAAGTAAGGATTCAGTAGTGTGAACCACAAAGCAAGGATTTAAAACTAACTGAAATCCAAGAAATGGGATTCTGTTAATGGCTGAGGCTTATTAAAAACATTTGTATCATTTAGTTTCGAGCCAGGGCTTACACGTGAGCCACATTATGTAAACTCCCTTTGTAATTTTGCCAAAGCAAAGAAGATCAGTAGGTCAAACTTTTAAGCTTGACCTACTTTTTTTATAGGTACCTCACAATAGCTCAACTCTTTCCTACTTTGTTTCAAGACTAGCAAGAAAAGAAGTGGGGAGAACTAACTTTTCTTGCCTGCTGCAGTATAGTATGTAGGATTTTCATCTTACGCAGGAGTTCTCCACCTAGTCCAGGGATCTTTTTCCGGCAATATTCAGAGATATATATTAGAAGGGGGTAACTAGAGTGACTCATGGATGAGGAGGAATGTTGACCTCTGAAGATGTTAAATGCTGCTATCTATTTTAAAATCAAATACAAAATTACTTATATAGTATGGTGGAACAAATAGAATATGGAGGCAGGTTTTTTTTCTTGTACAAATTAATTTGGGAAAATTGTGAATTATTATAAATTTATAGTCTATAAAAATTTAAAATTTAAAATCGATTTATTATTACGTAATTATAAAGTTTTATTGTAATTCACAGTGCCTACAAATTTAGTAATGGACAGAGTCTTTTTTTGAGGGCTATATGCAGGAAAAAAGTTCTGTGGTAATTTTGCAGCAATCCCCTTATGTGTGCTCCAGCTGCTCTTCTCAATCTCGCTTTTCTTCCCCAAGCCTCTGACTGATGGAGATATACACAGATCTGAAAAACTGGAGCTATGGCCAAGAAGAGGATCTGTGCAGGGTAGGTGCCTGTTCTAAGGAGAGGGGAAACAAGCTAGAGCGTTGGACTGGCAAAGCACTGACATTGGCCTAATTCCATAGGAATCTATAGAGAATTAGCAGTCATAGGTTACATCCTTTCTCAGGGTAAAGCTCTTGATATCTTCCTATTATATCATATTTGATTTCCAATTTGATGTATTATCCTGTATATGTTTTTTAAATTCTGTAAATTGAGTTGATTACAAGAGTTTGATCTCTCTTGGGTGCCTTAGGAAATGTAGTCTGATTGTGATGGTTTGTCTGAGGGATGAGCTAATCAAGTGTGAAACACTAGCTGCTAAGAGTTAGAGATTCAAAATTCCACAGAGTATGTACAGTCTAGTTCCTCTCTTTGAGCAAAACATACTCAGTCTATTATGTTTGGGTCCTTGGGATGAACTAAAATGCTCCCTTGTGAAGGCATCAAAAGCCTCCCAGGGATTTACTGCAGTATCAGAAGCCAGCATTTCCTATCCATGCAACGTAGTGCGATAAGCAACAATTGGCTGCTACCCAAGAGCCTCATGGTAGCTGCAGTTCTGTGCCATAAATTACAAAGCACTTTGGGATTATTAAGGATGACAGTCTCTCAAGGTGTTATGATTAATAACCCACTTAGATGTTTAAATATTTGTCCAGTTGAAGACAGTTCACATTAGGCCTTGAACTTGACCATGAGCAATTCTTTGTGCAGTTATTTGGACGCTGCATTAGTAGGGCTGAGCTATGTCTGAGCTTGGTACGTCCAAGAATAATCAAACGACAGTGTTCATGGGCAGTAAAGTCAAGTAGTTTACTTTTGTAGTGAGCCAGCTTCTCAGTTTATAGTGTTGCAGTTCTTACTCCTGGGTTTCCCGTTCTCTTGCTCCCCAGTCATTGCCCAGGTTCTTCTTGCCTTGTTTCCACTTCTCCTGCTCTGAATGCTTCCAGCTATTGGCAGCAATGTAATTTAGTTGTATTTTAAGGAATAGGTATGGGGTCAGAATAAGAGGGAATGGAATAAACTGATTGTTCAGCGTGCCTCAGAACTGCTTTGCTGCGAATACTTCAAAAGAGCTGCTTTGAATCTAGATTCTTTCTGTACTTCTCAAATTGCTGGCATATATACTAATGTTATTAGGATGTCTCAGTGAAACTGCTTGCTTTCTGCAATAAAATCTTTGTATACATCTGAAATGAGATGGATCCTGACTTCCATGATAGGCAGGGCAAATGTACAAGTAAGGGGGAATGGTTTTATCTGTAACTTCATCAGTATGAGCTTAATGCATCAAACATACAAAACCTTTAATTGTAATGTCTTTATACCATAGCGAAGTGGAGAAAACTGATAAGAGGTTGTAATGGTCATCAAGTTTCCTGAAGGCTGGCTTTTGTGTAGAAGGTGACTTGTTTGACTTGAAAATTTGCTTTAATGTTCAGTCTTATCTGTACAAAATAGAGATATTATAAATTGCAGTATTAAGAGAGATCTTTTCTTAAGCATAGACAGCAACCAACGGTATTCCCACAGTCAGTGGAAGTGTCAGCTCCAGAACTGCCACAGTGGAAGGTTCTGATCTCCTTTCTTGTAGAGGAGAAAATGCACTGCAGCTTCTGTGCCTGTTGATGCGAGGAGCGTTGTAGGCGTTGCATGCTGTGGGGGAAGAGAAGTCACAAGGGTGAAGAAAGAACTTTTTTTTTCCTTAGGTTGAATTCCGTTCTGAAACTAATCATGCACCTAAATTCATGTGTTAATGATGTTGTTCTCCATTGTAGAAACTTGTGTGGGAAGAAGCATGTTTCACTTTGTTTTTTAAACCCACACTTCAATTTAAAAACTATGCAACAAGATTGTACAGGAAACCTGAAAAGATTGAATGGCCAGGAATTTCTAATGTGGTCTCATAAATTCTTTCAGTGAAATACTATTGGGTCACTCGGCAATTACAAGAAGCACCCTGAAGCTTAATACATGAAAAATGGTGAAATAAAGAGAGTAAAGGCTAGTAGTGGTTGCTGTTTTACAAACAGAAGTCTGTTGACTTATGCCCAATGTAATCTGAAGTAAATGCTCTCTGTAAGTATATGTTCAGTAAGATGAAGTTGGCGATAAAGACAGAGCATTTCTTGCCTGTTTATATTGAATCTAAAATTAGAGAGGGTTCTGTTTCAGAATGTCAGTATAACAACTGTATAAACGTATGTTAACAGATATGCTCTTTGGAGCACTATATAACATCTGATTGCTTTTTAAGAATAGTGCCACTTGTTCAGAAAGGACTGAGCCCTGCTGTTAAGATAAAGTCGTATTTTATTTCAGTAAAGTGTGAATTTTACTGTTCAGGAGTGGTCTGTCTTCTCTTATTCTAGCCAAAAAAAAGTCTCCAGACTCTTACGGTCTATTTTTGTAGATGCCAATTTGTGATAAGGGAGAAAGCGTTATCACCACACAGACAGCACCTGTTAATTGCCTAAATAATTCAGGCTTAAATTATGCAGGCTTCTAAAACAAGGACTTGCCCTAGCAAAAGGGATAAGAAAATATAACTTCAGGATAAATCCTGAACATGCTCCCTGCCTTCCTATTCTTCTTTGGTTTTAATGTGTTTGTTGTGATGGGAACAACAAGTAAATGCCTAAATTTGAGAATTGTTACTGCAGAAGAAGGTTGGGTTTTTTTTCCAATTTGCCTGAAAAGTTAAAGCTACCTTTTATACTGGGGGGCGGCTTAAAACGTTAATCAGCCAGGAAACTGTGTCCTGGCTGTCCTTGAGGACAGATTGTATGTAGTTAAGCTATATATCAGTCTGTCTTTCAGCACGTGAAGCATTACTTGTAGAGAATAAATTGTTTGTTGGCCCTGTACCTAATCCCTATTTAAAGTGCAGTTTAACCTGTATTGCCAGTTGTTACAAGCACATCATACACAGATTTGGCAACAGTTGAAAAGTGCCTTTAGGAATAAAAACTGAGGTTAGGTTTTATTCTACTTGAAAGATTACTCTAGTTGCAATGAAATACATCTTGGGACATTTAGGTGCCATTCTTCAGTTGGCAAAGGTGCCTTATGGAATAAAGCAAGTCTAGTAGACAGAGGTAGTATCTTTTACATCCCCAGTTGGTAGAGTGGGGGAAACTTGTGTGTCCAAGGAAGGCCTTGCAAGACCAGAAATGTGCTTAATCTTTCCAATTATTCTAGTTGTTCTAATAAAAGGTATTACTTCTGCCTGCAAACTTCCCTTCTCACGTCCTCGTTGCTATAAATACAATCCTGCCGTCGGTTATGTGATTTAAAGAAATTGCCACCGAATTGTTAGTACATTTTATTTGCTTTTTGAGTATTTTGTTCCTTATTTAGCAAGGTGTGTTGTACTTTCTGGCAACCTGGGCCTAAAATTTGCTCTCAGCAGTGGACCAGGAGAAAGTTAGGCTCAGCTGTAAAAAACCATTCAAGCATATAAGGTGTATTTAGGCTGAGTGTTTGCAGAGCAGACACCTAAAATTTGCAACTACGTTTCTAACCATATAAATGCCAAAAGGCATTTCAACGCTTCTCTTTTCACCTTACACTGCTGGGTGATTCATAAGGCCATGGAAGAGCCAGATCAGTGGGTGTCCTTGGAGCATGTCTGATGCAAACTGAGTTCAGCGCAAAGCACAACAGTTAGAGCTGACAGAGGAAGATGATCCTTATTCCTCCTGAATTTCATTTGACAAAATGCACAAGCAGTCTTGAGGGCAGGGCCAGAACCTGAGATTTCTCCCTATTGTTGAATGCCCTTGTCACCAGGCCAGAGAAATTGCTTTAGATTGTAAACAGGAAGGTTGACAGATATGTCGTCTTCATGAATAAAGAGAGAGAGAATAATAGATTAGTTACTTTACTTGGTGTGATTTGGGGGTTTTGGTATATCTGTCCTGATCTGCTTGGACATCTATTAAGTTTGAAACTCAACTGACTTGGTGAAATGGTGCTTTTAGATATGCAGGAGTTAAAAATGGAGAGCTCTGCAGTCCAGATGTTGCCAGCCCGTGAACAGATCACCTTATAAGACACCTATGTGGAAGGTGATCCACTGAACTGCGAAGATCCAGAATTTCTGCGTTCTTGCTGTTTGTGTTGTGTTTGTATCACACAGCAAACTCTGGTGCTGCCGTTACTGACCCACCTCACGTCACTGACTCCTCTAGATGATGGCCAGCCTTGAAGAGCCTGCACATGAACCATTGGATTGTGAAGTGATGAGCAGACCATTTTCGAGAATGTTGGGGTAGGGTTGTGTGATGTGTTGGATGGAGAGGTATCATTTTACAGCTCTGTCTGAAGCCAAATATAACTCTTGAAAAGAACACAAGCTCATCAGATGTTAAATGGCAGAACAGCTGCAGGTGTCATAGCTTCTGGCTTTCAACTGAACATATGGCATAAAACTGGTGTAGCTGACGAGAAAAATCACTTTTAAATATTGACACTGCTTTTGATCTTTCTTTTTTTAGGCAGTGGATTTTGTCAACTTTGAATAGCTCTATTTTGGTGGGGGGAAAAATGGAAATAACTATGGATTTTTTTGTTTGTTTTTTAAAGCTAAATAAAACATTAAGTTTTCTTTTTTTTTTAAGTTCTCTCTTTTTTTCCAGGCCCTTGCCACTTCAGAAATTGTAAAGATTCTAGTCACTGGCAACACTATCCTATTGTGAAAATGCTTATAGTGTCAGAAAATAAACAACCAGAAGGATGCAACTTATTAGAGATCCTGTTTACCAACATTTAATTAATGCCATCTTCTGAAGTAGGAAAGAACACCTTCAGTGTGGGCAGATTTCTTGGCTCTGATACGTGAGAACAGACAGAGCCTTTCTTATGTCCTCAGGAGAGTTGTTCCTGCGTTGTTGCCTGAGGATAGCTCTTTCAGTGTGTGGTGGTCCATCTCTTCTGAGAGAGGGAAGAAAAAAAAAAAAAAAAGCCAAAACAAAACCCAAACATTAAAACAATCTACC